TTGAATCCTTCCGATCCGTTTCTCTAGCGTTTGATGCTGAGTTCGATCAGCAGCGTGAATGTATGGTGAGTTTAATGTACAGTTTTCGACCGACCGTTTTTGTTGACGTGGCTATAAGCTCTCTGTTCTGTCCGGGCGAACAACTTTGGGAACCTTAACTTGTTGTTTGAGACAATATTTCGCATTTTTCCAATTCTTTTGTTTCAAAAGATCAAATTGAGTTGAGTTCATTAAGCCTACTTTTCTAAGGTGGAAGGTGATCTAAGTGTGTGTTTTTCCCACTACTAATATTTCCTTAATTTATAAACAAGAGGCAGAACCTTAGTGCAATAGTTCATTATTCACTGTCATCTTCTTGTTCTACCATTATACTTCATTTATCCAGATGGCATTATTTCCAATTCTATCCTCATTCTTTGCCCCCCTTCTTGAAACTTCTACCATAATCTGTTCGCTCTGTAACTCTAACCTTGTTTTCTTAGCCATTTTGCTATGAAGTGTTCCGCCTATTCAAATCGACAATGGTTTTGTGTTGAGGACTTCGCCTGCGCTTGCCAATGAATTAATCTGCCTAGTGTCATATTCACGTCTTTCTATCATCTAACCCCATTTGTGGACTAAACCTCTGCGCCACAAATGTGGAATTTTGATTCTGCCTCTTTTCCTCGATAGTGAATGTTATGCACATTCGACTTTACTTAGGGTATTGTCTGGGCGCATGCATTCACTTCTATACTGCTCTGTAACCTTTTCGCATCCTCGCTCTCTCCCCTGAAATTCCGCTATACTCATTGTATAATCGAGACCAAACTCCCATCTTCTCATTTCCGCCCATATTGTGGCAATTAGTAAAGTTGAATTATCCAATTGCCCTCAAATTTAGTGGATTGAACATGCTCTCACAGCGACATTCCGCTATCGTGAAAGAACACTCGCTTTTTGGACAGAAGTTTAACAGCAAGATGTCGATGTATATTGCAGGTTATTTCCGTTGTAGGCTAACATTGGCTAGTGGCAATTCACGTCGTCCACGCATATCTGCAACAGAACCGGTAGTTCGTCAGGTCTCCGATACTGTTCTTACCATAAAGCCGGAGAAGGTGGCTATTTCAACTCCCATTCCCAACCCCTCCACCACCACCGCAGCAACAACATGCGCTATTTCTAACGCTGCATCGCCATCACAGCCGCCGCTGCCGCGCCTTACTGTAATCACCAAGACCCTAGAGGACGGCAGCCCGCAAACCATCATCAAGGCCACCTCCAGTACGACTTCTACCTCCTCCTCGGACAAATCAAACCATTGTCACACTTCAATGGAGGGTGGCAGTCCCATCGGCACGACACTGCCACCACCACCGTCTGATGCGGAGTTTGACAGTGCAGAGCGAAAGCGTAAGAAGTCAAAGAAGCACAAACGTCGT